TATGATTCTATGATTCTATGAGGTATGTACCTTTTTCCCTGGGGCAGAGTCACCATGGAAACACCCATTTGATGTAGGAAACAGAGATTTTTACTCAGGGATGAACCTCCACTAAGAATTACAATCTGAAGTCCCAGTGTTAAATGGCAAGTCTATAGAATTGTGAAGGTGGGGTCTCTGGAAAGGAGAATCTGGTGCAAGAGAATGTTTTGGCCGTGAGGGCATAGAGAGAAGAGCATTAAAAAGGGAAGCAGCTGTTATTCTACACCTGTCATCTTTTGGCTTTCTGGGCACTTTCCATCTGGGGACAGTTTGGGAAATCATTTTAATGCCCCAGCATTAGTGAGGGTGTGGTGCACTGGGGTGAATCCCATCCTGTGAGTGACGAGACAACCCCATGACAAAAAGGCACAGGAAGGCGCAGGTTGCAGCAGAAGCCCCATGAGCAATGCCTGATGGATTTTCAAGGTGCCATGCTGTGCCACAGAAGCTATTCACCTGTAATACACCCTCTGTTTCCCTCTGGTCTCAGCCATGCTGATGATAGCAATGTATTTGGTAAATCATTATTATCAATGATACTTAACACCTCCTTTTAAAAATAAGATTACGATGCATGCAATATTACCAATAAGGTGGTGAAGGGATTATTCTCATTTCGATCAGCAATGTCTCCTTTCTCTAGCTTTACTTCAGGGTGATTTCATGTTGTTAAAAAGAACACACCTCTAAGGTATTAAGTAAAATGAAGTTACCCTCTTTCATTTTAGAGTGCATAGGTTTGATGCTGGCCCACTGCAAAGCCAAAAGTGCTGTAACTTCAACTTTTAGTCTGGGAATTAATTCCCTGTTGTTGTGATCTTAAAATTCACTGGGGGCTTAGTTCTCTGTAGCAAATGCATGAAAAAAAATGTTAATAAAACACTTTTTATTAACATAAATATATTCGTTATATATTTATAAAATATAAATATAAAAAAACTAATAACAAAATACTTTCTTATGGTTAGTATATATATAACATTATATGTTGTCAGTAAGGTATGGAGAGTTACCCCATAAGCAAAATAGAGTTTTTCTTCTTATATTTCTCATTCACTGGGAGTAGATGATGTTCTAGAATTGCATCTTGTTTTAACGCATTTAATTTTTATATTTTTTTTTAAGCCATGCAGATGGATCAGTAAAGTTTTGGGATGCCTCTGCCAGTAAGTTTCTAAAGTTCACTTTTATATAATTCTGACAAATCACACACATATATAAATAACATGATATTTAACAGCATGAGTAGTAATACCTGGGATGATATAATTAGGAATAATGAGGTGAAATTAAGCAAATTTTTATTAAATTGTGGAGGGGAGGGGAGAACTGCTAATAAGATAATTAGAGTGAAAGTCTGTAAGAGGTATAAAAATTCCAGATCCAACATAACAAAACCTATGAAGGATGAAGTGTTGGTACAAAATCCCTAGGGTGTAATCTTGTGTGTGTAAAAGAGTGGGTCCAATTAGATCCGATAATCCATTCCAGTTTTCATGTCTTCTAGTCTGAGTGCAATACAGTCATTTTACAGCTAAGTAAAAACAAAATATTAAAATACAATAATTCAGCTTAATACCTGTCTAGTCTTGAAAGGATGGAGGAGGCCTAAATCTTTACATGTCCAGTCTCAAGTTCCAGGAAATAACTGGGAAGCATTTCCATTCATTCTAGCTGGAAATATCTTCAGAAAATAGTTGTTCTATACATTCTAGCTATAACTACACATATCAGAAAACAGCATTTCCCCCTACAGAAAATACATACAGCACTTATTAGTAAAATACACGTATTTAAAATATACATATATTATTGTTGAAAGCTAAAATGTGTGCTTCACAGAAGTTGCAGTAGAGTTGCCTTGTATCCTCTCTCCTCTGTGATACTGGAAATCTCTGGGTAGAATATGACTTTTATGAGGTTTTGGTCTCTTAAAGAAAAGAGATTGTGGAAGAAAATTCTGTCTGAAATGTTAAGCAGAGAGAGATTTAGCCTGACCATAATAACCAGTCTGTAATGGTCACCAAGAACACCCATAGTTAAACTACCTCCTTCTTCCACATGGTGCCATGGAATTGTGATGATTAATATTGCTACCATTTCCAGCCAAATATGGGGAATACTTACCAGTTTTAATGTCAGCTAAATCTGATGTCTTTGTCGGGTAGTTCTCTTTTTGCCTACTACCAAGTATTTTCACTCATCAGGATGGACAAGGAGAACATCAGGTTTTCCAAAGCCTCATTTCACAAAGGAATTTTACATAGGCGTGTCAACTGAACATGAGTAGGAGGGGTTTTTTTTTGTTTGTTTGTTTTATTTTACAATTGGTCTGTTTGGAAATGGAGGAGAAACACATACATGCTGCTTAGAGTTTACTCTTCCAGCATTTTCAAGTTATGGTGAAGACCAAAAAGAAAAAAAAAAAAATATTAATGAGGTCAGCAGGAGTTTATCTGCAAAGACAGAAATTTGGGAGCTTTAATACGAACAAAAACAAGATAATAACTTTTATTTAGGGAAGTAGTGCGAGGAATAAGACCATGTCTTGTGCATATTTCATTACATACTTACACTCTTGACAAGACTGCAAATACACCATTAAAGTTAGGGTGAAACAACACAGACTGTTGCAAGACCCCAAAGCTTTTAGTGATACACTGCACAGGAAATTTCACAGTCACTTCGTCTAGAATTCTGGCAGAAATGGGGAAAGGAAAAAAATTCTCACAGGGAATGTAAACATAACCCACTAATCAGTATGTACATGCTGCATAAGGATTTTACTTAGAGGTAAAAGCTTAAGTGAACATGAATACTCAGTCGTTTCAAGAGCAACCTTACTTTCAGTGCATCTCTGCTGTCCTGGTCTTAGTCCCATTTTTCAGGGTGTGTACTGTGTTACTGGTACTATACTTGGTACCTTTTATTTACAAGATTTTAATTACGGCAAAGTTTTATTATTTACAGGTCTTAACTTTCTTGATGGAGTTCAGATTTCATTTGTGATGTCATAGCAAACATAATATCCTACTGGTATTTGAAAGCATGAAATAGTTTACTTTTAGACATATTTCAACAGTGCAATTCTGTATCTGAAAGCACAGTTTTGTGGGAGACAAGGAACTGCTAGGCCACTGAAGCATCTTTCCAATTGTGTCTTTGCTCAAAAGCCACTGCTGCCTCTTATTTTTCCTTGTGCAGATGGTACCTAGTAATCCACAGCAACATAGAGACTCCTTGTGCCCTATGAGTCCGTAATTCCTCCAGCCCTAGTATGCATGGACCAATGATGTGTGATTTGAAGTGCCACTCTAGACTTGTCACTGGGACTAAGGGTATCCTTAGGCCTCTTCTGCTGAAGGCAGGAAGAATTATGCATTCACTAAAAAAGCACTTGCTGGAATTTGTGAGAATTTGGTAGCATTTTGTATGCTAAAACTTTTAAAAATATAAAAAATGTTATATGCTGTAACTCCTGGAATATATCAACACTGCAAAATGAAAATGTAATTTTGCCGTGTTCATCATCTGGTTAAACACCATTTTTTCATCTTTTTGTTGCTCTTGTTACACAAGCTAGCTAGGCTGATCTATCACAGCTACACTAGCATATGTAATAGCTTTGCCTTCAGGTATATGCACGCCTTGATAAGTGCTGGGCCTGACTGGCTTTTTCTGACCTTATGCAGTCATTAATTAATGCCACTGAGAAATTAATGTAAATGTAGTAAAAACCAGTGAGAAGCATAAATAAAACAAAATGGGGTTAATTATAATACCTCCTTTGCCTCCGGAATTCACTGCCGTGGACTTCTAGTCTGACAAAGGCTTCTGGATATTAAGGTTTTCTATACAGATATAAATACAGATATACTTATTAGTCAAGAAATTCAAAACATTCTAGAACTACTGTTCATTCAGAAAATCTTTGGGTTGCCCAGGCCACCAGAATACTTTCCAAATACTTCTCATGAAGTGCCATACAGTCTTTACATCCCAGCAAGACAAACGAAACCTCAGCTTCACATCTCATTAGAACAGCAGCATTATCAGAGCCTCTCGATAACATTGAGTATACACCTAATTACAGACATAATGGTTAACATACAGCTTTGACATCCTGTCCCAGAAAGTACTAAGAAGCATTTCACAGACAAATATCCATTTTGGAAGTATTAAATACATATCCTAGCAGTACTGTGTACCAGAAGAATATCTGTATTGTGTAATACCCTTCTCCTACTCTTAGACCTCCATAAGATTCTTTGTTATGCCACAATTGAAAAGAAAATTGAACCGAGAAATTTTAGAACTGATTTGCTTCATGTTAGTCAGCCTTTTTTATATGTTTTAATATATTCCAGTTACACTACAGATGTTGTACAAATTAAAAACATCAAAAGTCTTTGAAAAACAGAAACTGGGAGAAGGAAAAGCAACAGCTGAGATTGTGGAAGAAGATCCTTTTGCTGTTCAGATGATGTACTGGTGTCCTGAAAGCCGAATTTTCTGTGTGGCAGGAGTTTCTGCGTATGTGGTTGTTTACAGGTTCAGCAAACATGAAGTAAATACTGAAATTGCAGTAAGTCCTTCAGAACTTTACTCTCTTATAAAATAACATGATTTCTAAATCAAATTGCTTTGTTGTGTCTGTTTTGATATACTTGAATAAAATTAATACCTTTTTAAACCTTTTGAGTGAAATCTTGATTACTTAAGTTAGTGACAAAAATCTAAGTTTTTGGGAGCCAAGTCTCCACTTTTTTGCTTTAATAGTAACATACTGTACAGATTTCAGACATAGTTTGTTTTTAAGACTTTATGATAAAGTAAATCAGTTACTCCTACCTGCTCTAAAAACACTGGCTGCTGTATGTTTTTATCAGATAATGTACATTGTGCACATACACAATAATGCTCTTTATAACTCAGGTATTCTGTTTCTTTAATTTATGTTCACACTGTGGCTGAACAGCATTTATCATGTAAAACATGACCAAAAAGTTTATAGGCAGAGCCAAACTAAACATGACTGCCTCTCCTTCAGGCTTGCCATTCCCTGGTGCTGGGAAACAGTTTACAGCTCCAGACACTCTCTTGCCAGAGAGTATTACTTTGCGTCTGCCATCTCTCGACAAACCTCAGGCGCTGACCCAAAATTTCCCTTCTCCATCTTCCCCAGTAACAGTTCTTTTTCTTTTCACACGGTTTTAGTGTACTTTAGAAATCCATAGTTCTAGCCTGGCAAAAACCTGCGTCATTTTTGGCCTGTAGCCATGTGCCACCTGGTAAGGAAATTCTGTACCTATAGCTGTTCTGTTGTCTTCCTCTCTTTTTTTTTTTTCCCCTAGGGGCAATTACAAAGCTAGCTGAAGGAAAGATAAAGGGAACTGGTTTGAGTTTGCTTTCTAGAATCTGCTAAACTCATCTTTGTGCTAAGGAATACGGAACTCTGTGCTGTTATCACTGATTTCCTGACGCCCACCTACAGCCAAATGAAATTGGTTCATCAGTGCTACCCACACTGTCAGGCTTCTGCATGCTGGCTAAGACCTGTCTTGTAGAGACTCTGCTGTACTGACAATAAGCAGGCAGAGTTGATGATCATTCTTTTAATGAATTTACTTAGGAAAAAGGTAACAGACAACAGGCAGAAAAATTTCATCACGTTTACCCTGAATTATGCCTTCTTATGCCAAAATATTATTTATTTGGGAGTGAGCAAATAACTTTTCATAATAAATGCTGGAAAGCTATATTCTTGCCTTTTACTTACAATAAAAGGCTTGAATCAAAGCACTGCAAGAACATACCTATGTATTTCTCCATCAGCACTAGGTAGATGACTAGTTCCTGATGTTGCTGTTAGGCTGTATAAGTAACAGATGACAGTATTCTTTCCTTGCAAATAAGAATGATACATGTGGAGAGGTATTTATTTTAAAAAAAGGCTTACTGATATTTATTTGAAAGTAACAGAATTTTCAGCAGCTTTTCTTATTCAATTATAACTTAGCTTTTTATTTATTTAGTCATTAGAGGTACGACTTCAGTATGAAGTAGAGGATATCATTACTCCTGAACCGGAAATAATTCCTCCATTTCCAGATGCCTCTTCCCAGCTCCCTTCTTTAAAGAGCCTTTCAGGCAGTACCAACACTGTGGCATGTGAAGGAACGATGAAGGATAGTATCCCATGTCTTAGGTAAGTCTATGCCATTATTCAAAGATTTAGGTTTCTAAAAAGCATTCTTAATTGTTGTATTATGAATCAGCTAACTATCAAGAAAAAGGTTAATCTTTTTAATCTTCTTAACTTATTCAACACAAAATGAGAAGAAACCAGAATATGGAACAAACAAAAGAATTAGGGCAAAATAATTAACAAGGGATTTTTAAAGGATGTATGTAAGTATGGAGAAGATAAACTGCTACAGTAAAGGTTTGAGAGTAATTTTACACTGTGATCTAGGAGTAAATCTTCATCTCATCCACAGTTTTGAGTGAAATACATGGCACAGAATAAATCACGGGATTTCTGAGGATTTTTTTTTTTTTTTTGAGTTCACGAAGATGCTTTCATAAAGCGGACATGTGCAAAGCTTTCCATCCTTGATTAATTAGTATAACACTAAAATCTCTTTTGTGGAAGAACTATATGCCTTTTTTGGTGTGTACAGGATGGAAACTGTTTTCAAAGGCTGTTGAGCTCCTGAAAATAACATTGCACTTAAAAGTAATATTATTACATTGTCCTTGCAAGACTAACAGTATTTTTTGGCATCCTGTTCATTTGTCCACCTCATTCAGTCAGACAGTTGGACCTCAGACTTCAGTTAGTAATTAATATAAACCACTAAAATCAATAGCAGAGACAGAGAGAAGGTATTAAAAAACCCCCGATGTGAAATCTATTTCTACCATTGAAATCAGCAAGAATGCCATTTATTTTTTCAGTGTCTAAGATTTTCCCTTAAGGGATCCTTATTTGATTTGGCCTGGGAAGGAGAGGAATTGTTGATCTTGGAGGCAGAAGAGCTGTAATGAACCAATAGTGATTCTACTGGCTGGTTTTTTTAGGAGTTTGCTTAATTCCATATAAACCCACTGATTTTTGTCTCATTTTACACAAAGTAGATGTTAACTTATTTTGACAGAGAAAAGATCTTTCAAAGTCAAAGTAATTATACTACTAGAACTGCTGGCATGCTCCTCCTTACATTTACATAAAAGTATACTATGTGCACTCTCACCCTTTTCAATAGGGAAAGGCACGTAAATATTCCATACATTTTCTCCAAACCTTAACTGGGTTCGCATTTCTTTTCTGTCAAAAAACTTCTGTTCTAAGCTGAATTATGATGATAAGATGAAAGTAGTGCTGGAAATTGAGAGAAAACAGTAGAGACCTGGATGATGATGCTGATTTTATATGCAAGTCATCCAGGTGGGCAGCAGTACAAATCTAAGATCCAGTGATATAGCGATCCAGTGTATAGCTGCAGCCACCTACACATAGAGGGTGAGTGCACAGCTTGAACTATATTGATAATCCACATAAAACTGTACGTTCTGACTAGCTTTTAATCTCAGCTCCATTGTGTTTACTTCCATATCTGTTTCTCAACCTTGTAACAGCTGGTGGGTGGCATGCCACACTGCACAATTTTGGTAGTCAGAATGCCTGAATGTGCTTGTGTCTGCAAATAGGTACTAGAAAGCAAGTGATTGAAGGGGCTGAAGAATGAAAACCTGGCATTTTTCTGAGCTCAAAAGTAAATGTTACCAAGAGAGGCAAGCATCAGTGTGAAATAAATATTGTTCTTGCTCATTTCAGAAGAATTTATAATTAAGTATATGGCTATAATAACATAAGAAAATGATGTATTTGTGATTATCCAGGTAAATATTTTTTGATGTAAATACTGCCATCAAAAAGTTGTATCCTGAATGTAAGTCTTTGTTCCCAGACTTTTAGTATCATCCCAAAATTAGGCCAATCAAGAGTTTTGACAGCAGCTCCAAGTAGCTCAAAAATTATAAAGGTCTGTGATTATCTCACAAAGAAAACTAAAAACCAAAACTTGGCAACAACCGAATTCAGTGTGGCATAACAAAAACATGTTAAGGGAATCACTGCAATATCTACATTCCTCCTGCTCATACTCCTGCAGTCTGTCTAGGCTTCTAGCATAAACACTTCAAAAAAGGCAATCCAAAACAAGGTGAAGAACTAAATATCAACATTACTGTTCAAGAAAAGTAGTTAGAGAAACCAGGGAAATGGCACAATTTTCCTTAAAGAGGAAGGTGTCACAGGTGAACATGGGAATGACAAACTGAATCATGAAATCTGAAACTATTTTACTCCAGTCTTATGATCTTTCACCAACTACAACTTTTTCTATGCTTAGAGAAAATCCTGGTGAAATAGGAGCCATCTTACCTAAGAAGATCCTCAAATTTGCAGTAAAAAAAAGAGAGAAAGGTGTTTGCTTTTTATTTTTTTTTTTTTTGCTTAGGTAACAACAATCTGAAAAAAAACTTAGTAGGTGCTTCAAGTTCTCTTATTTTTTCACCATGTTGTTAAAGACACATTAGAAAAGTAATATCATAGTAAATACATAGTTTAGAAGATCATAATTAATTCTACAGCTATTGTCAGTCTCACGGCAGTTGTTTAGAAGAAGAAAAGGATAAATGCATTGCCTCAACAGGCATCTGTTGGAAGTCACCATAGCAGTGTGCTTGACTCCTGTGTTCTCCCACATTATCAGTTATCCATTAGAAAATACAGATGGAAAGTATTTCTGCTCAGCTGAAAAGGCATTAGACTTAAGTCTTGCTTCTTGGATCTATATTTTTTATAACATTCTTAAGGGCAGGAGCTGAAAACTGAAAATGGAGTACAAGATGGAAACACTGCCATGAGTATGGCCCTTTAAGGCTTTTTGACAGATGTAAGAAGTGGAAGGTGCCCCATCACAGAAGATACTCTGGAGAACCATTTGTATAACATATCCAGCTTCTGCTTGCTGTGAATTTTGTGGGAAAAGGATGTACCTTTGTTGTATACAACTCTTGTTTGTAGTTTCACTTTTCCCCAGCCTCAAAAGACCCCTTTCGCCTAGCAGCTTGGGTTCACAGTTATTTGTCCCGTTGTTCTTACCACGAATACGCCTGTGTAATCCAGGACTTCATTAATCTTAGGGACAGTGTCACTTCAGAAACGCTTGCAGATATGTACCTTATGAACAAAGGAAAGGGCAAAGCTTTAGTGCCAGCAGAACAGGCAAGAAAGTGCAAAACTTTGAGCAGAGGTTTGCTGTTAATAGAAAACAGCAGTCTCAAAGCTACTGCCAACTTGTGGTGGATTGATTTCAGATCTTGGCTGGCTGTGAGGTGCCCACTCAACCACTCTGTCACTCCCCCTCCTCAGCAGGACAAAGGGAGGAAAATAAGATGGAAAATCTAGTGAGTTCAGATAAAGACAGGGAGATCACTTACCAGTTACTGTCATAGGTAAAACAAACTCAACATGGGGAAAAATCATTTCATTTATTGCCAATTAAAATAGAGTTGAATGGTGAAAAACAATAAATTTGTTTCCGCAGAGATACCAACAGCTTGGGTGAGGGGCTCAGCCATGTCCTGCCATGGATCCATGGCGGAACCAGCTAGAATGAGGTGACATCTGACAGGGGACAGCCCCTGGCCTCTCCTCACAGAGGGCCACCCCTGCAGCTCCCCACCCCCCACAATCAAAACCTTGCCACATATCATATGTAGTTCTGCAGTCAGAGAGGGGAAAAGGTAGGAGCCCAGCCAGCGTCATGAAGGGGAGAGGAGATGTCTTGGAGATCCACGTGAAGGTCTCATTCCTCATCCTGAACCGTTGCGTATATTCTGCTGTGACATCCAGATAGGCAATACCCAGCTATGTGATCCCATATCTGCAGGTGTAATAGGTATATGATAGGACTATGAAGTTTGAGGCGGCTGCAGGGCCTGAGAAAGTTGCAGATGATTGTGAAAGGCATCACACATCTAACAATATACTGTTCAGCTTTCGCCAGCTAGTGCTTGCACCAGCTCCTGTTTCTGCTGCTTCCTCTCTTCAGGCTCGACACAACCGTGTATTAGTTCCAACAAGGTGTCTTGTGCAACCCTGCTACACCATGTGCTTACTCTGTCTTGGACAACCCGCACTTCAGAAAGTCTTATCTCACTGCTGCCAGCACTGCTTTTTGGCCCCCATCATTTTCTGGCACGCTGGAGCTGTAGTACGCTGCTGTCTCTGTTGCCGTCTGTCACCAGCCATGGGTCCCTATGCAAGAAAACAAAAGTCCTTACTTACTTGTATCTAACCAGGCAGATAAAGTGCTGTTCATCTCCACTCTTTATATGTTGTCGCAATGAGATTCCCTTCCAGTTTGGGCCAAGAATGTGGCTGTTGGGTGCTTTCCTTTTGCTCTTGTACTGCAGCAACCCTGAGTGGGGAAGAGAGGAGTGGTAGTCCAAACCGGTGGCCTGGCGGTCAGTCCTCACCGCTAGTCCTGGACAATCCGGAGAGAGGAAGAGGAGGATGGGAAAAAGCATCCTGCTTGCTGAACTGTCCTGTCCTGTCTTTCCTATGATGAGATCCAAGCCAAGTGGCTGATTACTGCTCCAGATAAATGGATATCTAAGGTCTGAACAGTGAGATAGGCAAAAGAAAGAGAATAGTGTGCCAAGATGTTGTTAAGGAAATGCCTTTAGAAATATGGACAAGGAATGCCTTTCTCAGTAAATAGTCAGTAAGGGAAAGGTTTGGCAAGGTTAGTGAACCCTCTGTAATAAAAATAGAGGCAGAACACCATAAACTGTATTACTGAAGTGGTTAAAAGATTTGAGATGGGGTGTGAATGTGTTTTCAACGGGCAGTTATCAAAGATGTTTTATCAGGTGCAGGTGCCCAGGCGTTGGGGGGTGGCTGCAGGGTCGGCCCCTGCGAGGAGCAGCAGGGCCTGCCCCGTGCTGGACACAGCTACTTCCAGCCGGCTCCAGCCAACGCACCGTAGGGCATGGCTGAGTCCTGCAGCCACAGTGGTGGCTCCTCAGGGAAAACAGACCGAAGAAAGGGCAAAAAGCGCTGCACAGCAGCTGTGGGAGAGGAGTGAGAACAAAGTATGAGAGTCAGACCTGCAGGCACCAAGGTGAGAGGAGGAGGCAGGGGAGGAGGTGCTCCAGGTGCCGGAGCAGAGGTTCTGTGGCGGCTGGTGGTAAAGACCATGGCGACGGCCAGCTGTGCCCTGCCACCATGGAGAGCCCACATCGGAGAAGGTTCCTGGCAGGAGCTGTGGAAAGGAGCTCACTCAGGAGCAGGTTTTCTGGTAGAAACTGTGGCCCGTGAGGACCCACACTGGAGTAGTGTGTTCCTGAAGGATTGTACCCCGTGGGAGGGACCCTGCGCTGGAGCGGGGGGAGAGTGCGTAGGAATGGCAGGCGCGGAGTGCTATGAACTGACCCAACCACCGTTCCCTGATCCCGTGCTGCGTGGGCTGGGAAAGCGGGTAGAAGAGTCAGGATTGAACCTGAACCTGGAAAGAAGGGAGGGGTGGGGAGAGGGGGTTTTTAGTTTTGTCTTTTCAAATAATTTTTCACTCTACTACTGTATTTTTAATTGGCAACAAGTTAAATTAATTTTGCCCAAGTTGATCCTGTTTTACCTGTGGCAGCAGTTGGTAACGGCTATCCCTGTCCTATCTCAACCCATGAGGTTTTTCACCTTATTGTCTTCCCCTGTCATGTTGAGAAGGGGAGTGAGAGAGCAGCTGGGTGGGCACCTGGCACCGGCCAAGGACAACCCACCACAGATATTAAGGACCAATAGAATTGCCAAGTCTCTAAGTTTTGAATATGCAATGGTGAGCACGACTACAGAAAGGTACATCTTCTCTTGCCGCTGCATTTTTCTGTCGTGCTTTACTTCAGAGCAAGAAAGTTCCAAAAGTACAGAAAAATCCTCTTTCAAAGTGTCACAAAGAAGCATTTTAGGTTTTCCATTCAAGGTGATTATTCAATATGATTTTTTTAAAAATGTGACTTATATAGCTTAAGAAAATATTCTGAAAAAAGGAAAATCAAAGCAAAATGATTAAGCAAAAATTATTTCTATTGACCCCCACCTACATCTTCTCCATAGTTTCTCTTGCAGGGGATGTTATCATTTTCAGATTTGTTTCTACAACAGAAATGAAAGCCAAACCCTGGAATTCCTCCAAGATATCCCTATTCTGACTGGAATGCCCTGTTTCAATGTATGGGTATATGCGCAGTACACTGCAAGTGCTGATAGTGCTCTGGACTTAGTAAGGGATTGTGCTTTACTAGTATTTTCTCAAGAGAAGCAGTTGTTACTCATGGCCCAGTCTGTTTGTTTGTTTGTGTGTTCTTATTTTGTACCTCCTCTTCTTAGTGTTAAGACTCGACCTGTGCGAATGCCTCCTGGATACCAAGCAGACCTCGTTATCCAGTTGGTGTGGGTGGATGGTGAGCCTCCACAACAGATTACCAGTCTTGCTGTAAACTCTGCTTATGGACTGTAAGTAACTCAAAATCAAGGTTATGTTGATTTAAGATTTATTGCGTTAAATCATGGGGTTTCCAATTTTACTTGGAAGCTTCCCACAGACAATTAAAGTCCGAGAAAAAATAGTTTAAAAGTGCTATTTAGAAGACTGAATCTTTTCACATTATTCTGTCCATCCTTGCGTTAAATCATGGGGTTTCCAATTTTACTTGGAAGCTTCCCACAGACAATTAAAGTCCGAGGAAAAATAGTCAAAAAGTGCTGTAACCCAGCTTCTTCATGAAAAATTGTTTGAACTCACATGAAGCTTGTAATATGAGATGTTAAACTGCCATTCTTGCCAATATTTTTACTATTCCTATTTAAAAGACTGAATCTTTTCACATTATTATGTCCATCCTTTCGAATGAAAACTAATTATCTTTCAAATCTGTAATTTTAAAGCTATTTTGAAAGGATCACCAAGGTGAAATACATTTCATAGAAAATGGCGATGTGATTGTTAAATGTAATTTATCATGACATCATTTCTCAGTTGGAAATTGTCTTCTGAGAACAGCATTTTCATGTCTGTGCTAATCTCTGTTTGCAAGAGAACCAGAGACCTGAAATTGAAAATTGAATAAGGAACATTCAGATGCTAAATTCGGTATGGAAATGCAAGTGATCGTATCTGTGTGTATTTTTTTCCTCAGTTTCAATTTATTTGCTAGTTTTTAATGTTTTCTCTCACTGCGAGTCAGGCAGATACATTAAATTGGTTTTCTCTGTAGAAGGTGTTACTCCAATAAAAGCTATAGTCTGTAATGGGTGTTAGGTGTCTGACTCCTACTGATTTTCACTAAGTCACTTGACTCTTCAAAGACTTTGGAAATTTTATGCAGCACTTTCACATTTGTGCAAAAATATTGTCATATACTGAGTAGATGAGTGTTTCAGAAATAAATTCATGTATTAATAAAAGAGCCCAATAAACTAAATTTAACTATCCTACAAAAGCTACCCAAGAAAGGCCTCTTTGTTTAAATTTCTCCTGCAGCCTCTTCTCTCTCCCTCTCTCTTGTCTCTTTTTGTTTAATACTTTAGTTTTCTCCTGATATCTAGTCTCACAAAGTGGAAAAAACGTGCCACACCAGCATAAAGCTTGAAGATACGTCATTTTTGCCATGGTAGTTGTGGGGTTATTTGGGCTATCTTTTGCCTATTTTTTTTTCCTGTAATAATCAGGAAGGCAGGCATAGGATAGTAAGTGTGTTCTGGAGTATCTACTTCCATTATTCTTTTAATTACTTTGATTTCTGTAACTCTGTATTACAAAAAATAGGAACTTAGTGTCTCTGATGTTACCGAAGCCATGGAGCAGGACTAAAGTGAGATCTAAAAAAACCTTTATCCCTAGCAAAGATAAAAGCCTTCAGGCATTATGAAATTTTATTGAGTGTATTTTGTTTACTTTTAACAGTACCAGGCTACATATTAGAAGTATTAACACTCGTTTTATTTCTGTTCAAGTGAATCATCAGAAAACTTCTTTATGTTATGAAAGTAGAAAAATTTACAAAATGCTTCAATTGCAACAGAAGATCTACAAGGTTAAATAAATTTGTTTTAAAGTATATTCTGTCAGACTGAAAGCAGTCTCTGAAAATTAATGCAACCTTGTGATAAAAATTTTCAGCCAATCTACATATTAATTGTCAAGAAGCATCTGATAAGGGTTTTATGACATTTCTATGAAAGATACCCGCAGAATAGAACATCTCCTAGCAACTAATTCTATTCATCACTCAAAATTGAGGAATTCATTGTGCATATTTTGTCTTTGATTTTATAAAAACTTACAATGTTAGCAATTTATCTTAAGCCCTATTAATAGCAATGTCTGTCTAGGTTTTCTTATAATTTCTCAGAAGTTTTATGATATTAATAAGGAAATTTTTTTTTGTGGTAATTTTTTAAGTATAAGAGATATTATATCCATACTTGCATGTGAACTTAGAGAAGTTTAGAAAAATGCAGACCGTGAAGTGATGATCCATTTTGTTGATTTGCTGAACACAGAGTGAATGATCACTAGCACTTCTTGTGACTCATGTTTTCCAAAATTAATAAATCTCAAGTTAATAATTTTCAAAATGCAGATGACTATAATTTTTGTTGCCTAAAATATTAATGGATGAGATTGACACTCGTCATTTTTATTCTTTTACTTTCCTTCTCCACCTAGAACACAACAAAATACAAAAATACCTAAAAAAAATCACAAAATTATTTTTTACTGTTCTTTATCAGTCAATTTGTGTCAAGAAACACAAAGACATCCAAAACTTCACACAGAATGATCTTCTGGCAAATGTGACAGATCACGTTCCTCTTTATCCCAGGGAAATTCTGAAAGTGATTTTATTATTTTGTTAAGCAAAACAGGTTTTCTGATTTCTGAAACAAGTGTTACTCTACATTCATAGAACATGTTTATTCCTCAGTGAATCTTATGATCGCTCTTTATATGCAGAAAATGTTGTCAAGTAAAAGTGTATTTGTACACACGTTAAGCTGGTGTATATTAGCAGCTGCTTAAGCTACAGATCAGTGATGAGTCAGTGAGGAAAAAAAAGAAGACTACGGTCATATTATTTCCACAGATGCCGTACTAAAGCCAATGTTAAGGGTAAAAAACACGGTGTAGAAACAACCAATAGAATTGGAACCACTGTTGTAGATGGTGCCTTAATTTGCCAGTTTGACAAATAAGAAAAAATCACCGCATTTTCATCCTTTACTTTTTCTATTTGTTATATGGAACCCTCGGAGAGGAAGAAAACGTTCAACAGAGTATAATCTACCCTGCTTCCCCTTCCTCCATCTTGCTACTTCTCCCCTATTGTTTTCCCACAGCAAATTCCTATATGTCCTTTAAGATATTTTGGAGCTGTATTATGGACAGACAGGTGGAGGTGAGGGCACAGCTCGCTTTTAGTGTGAACTGAGTGCTCGTACGTCTTGCAGGGCTATGAACTGACCGCCTTAGTCACTTTTTACATAAAGTGACAGAACTGGATCACAGATGATTCCCTATCTGATTGAGCATGATTTGGGATTTTGACTTTCCTTGTGGCTGTACCTGTAATCCTTTCAGTCTGGAAGGATAATCCTCAGTATATAATATTCCTGCTTAAATGAGGTCTCCAACAATGCAGCATGAGAGTTTGGCATAGGGATCCTGTGAACAGTCATATGTTCTGTGAAATTATCCTGCTATTAATTCTTAAATAGGTTTAATGTTTCAAGTGAGATTTTATCAGTTGAGCTATATGGCTGTCTATATGCTATGGTTAACTTCAGACTTTCTCCCAGGTCTTACCTATAGACATGTTTACTGTCTTTTGGGTTTTTTCCTTTTTCTTAGATAGACGTATTTTCTAATTCCACTCCCTCAACTTCCACCCCTTCCAAGCTGAGGAAAAAGCATGCTCAGAAAGTGTTTTTATGGGAGAAGAGAAAGTGTTTCTGGTCCAATGCAAGTTCTTTCCTCTTTCTGAACCTGGTGTCAGAGGGGAGTTGGCAGTAGGGCAGAATCAGGGCACAATGCTTCTAAACGGAGTTTCTAGGCAGCAAAAGAAATAAATTGTTCCATCTCTTTTTCCTTGTAACAAGACTGCAGCCCAGATCTTGGGCAGCCTCACACCAGTTGAGACATCTTGCCCATGTTTCAAAGCACCATCACAATGTCATTTATGGAAGTGTTTGAGGGGTAGAGACTGATTTAGCAGGAATCTATAATGTAGCCAAGCTGACGGAAAGAAATTTTATTAACTTCTTTCAGATTTGGGTATCTCCATGATACAACTTAATGTATTTAATTTATCATTAGTATTTAGATTTTTTAATGTACATTTATTTGTATTTACATTTAATGTATATTTATATTTTATTTATATGTATAACCACCTTTTAAGACCTATGTCCAGATTTGTAGTCGCAATTTACATCAATGTTACTAGAATTACATTTAGGCATTATTGCAATGAGTTTGGCAGAGAAAGTTAATCAGAGTGGGCAGTCTGCTTTCTGGAATGCCAAATACTGTGTTTCAGAACACAGTTTTATAAATGCAGGATTACAAATCTAAAAAAAAAAAAATTATAAAAAGTAAGCTTTGAGTAGGTTCTGAAGAAAATGTTTATGTAGAATTCCTAATAATAAATAATAATTTAGGTTTGTACCGCTTGAATATTACTAATGCGTTTGAGGAACATTTCTTTTCTCAGAGTGGCATTTGGAAACTGCAATGGTTTGGCCGTTGTGGACTTTATGCAGAAGACAGTACTGCTGAGCATGGGCACCGTCGACCTCTATGGATCAAGCGATCCATACCAGCGCCAACCCCGTTCACCTCGCAAAAGCAAGCAGTTTGCTGCAGGTAGGAAATGAATTATTGTGGTTACGAGCTTGATATGTCCTTTGGGTTTTTTGCCTGTGGCTTTTTATAGTGCTTTTGAAATGCATGACTATTTGCCAGCCGGTGGAGTTTCTACAACTTGACAAAAGAAACCTGACATGCTTTAGGTACTGACACATTCTCAGAAACAAAATGTTTTAAGTTTATTCTTTTGGGATGGAGGTCAGCAAGTAATTCCCTTAGCTGAGTCTCTCAAAAAATTGTAATGAGCAGAGCAGTAAATTGTTTCTCTGGCAGTCACTTGAAGTGTAGTCTGTATGCTGCTTTCTTTCTGGTTTCATTAAGTTCATACCAGTAGGTAAGACTCCAATTTAAACTTAATTGTACTTTCTGCTGAGTGATATTCATTGGTAGTTGAATAGGCCGTTGTGTTTGCAGAAGCGTAACACCTGAGAGACATGTTAGGAAGGTAGCACAAGTAGCTGAAATTAGGCACTTTAATAGGGAATTGAAGCTCTTGATATCAGCTTACTAAATCCATTTGTTCCCCAGTTTAATATTCGATGCCAAGAGGATCACATTTGTAAGTCATAGCTATTGTTATGCATTGTGTGTTAGAAATATTAATCAAATAGAAATCAATAGAAATATTAATCAAATAGAAATCAATAGAAATATTAATCAAATAGAAATCAATAGAAATATTAATTTAAAAAGTCAGATCATCTTCAGTGTTTCCAGTCTTTTTACTCCACAGATCCCACAGTAACATACTAGAGTCAGGCACAGTTATGAAATGTGTTCTGCACAGCTGTGTAGTTTTAGAAGTAGATTTACAAATCTGTTAGAAAACACTGATAAAATTCTAAAAGCATCATAGTAAGTTTATGATATCAGCATTTTCATCATCACACCCTACACTAAATCATCACATCCTATTCCTCCATAGAGTCAACGGAATCTTTTTAAATTGGGAATATGTGAGTATTCCAAACAGAAAGTAAAATTTAGGGAATAAAATGTAAATCTTCAGACCTACTTCTGTTGCTGAAAGACCAGTTATCTCACTTTCAAGGCATTTAATCATGGCAAGCTTAGTTGTCATCTGTGCCAAGTGTTAAAGATGTGAATTTGGCACAGCTGAGAAGAGACAAGCAGCTTTAAGCTACCCTCAGCTGCTCTGTCTGGTTCAGCCAGCTTCCCAGCAGCTCCCAAGGTAATTTGAGCAGCTAGCCACAAGCAACGTGCTACAGAGCCCTCTACAAAAGGTGGAGGGTAGGTGATGTAGAAATAGCTATTTTCAGTACTGTACCACAGAGGATTTCTCTGTGTCAGTGACATTCTCGGCCGGTTTTTTAAGGCAACCTCCTAGCTGTGCAGTGCTGCTAGAATGGAGCCCACTGAGGTTAAGTGACTGCTGAGAAGGAATACATGCTTCAAGATAGCTCACAGAAACTATGCCTCTGGAAAAAAATCAAACCCTCAGCTGCTTTCTCACCATCCATCCCACACCCTTTACTTTTCAAATTATTTTTCTTGTTGTATCTCCCAATTGGAAGGTAAGCATCTGCTGAAATTTCTTCACCTTGGCTGTTCTAGATGCTGGTTATGATACCACTTCCTTTCACTTTAGACTGTTTTTTCTCTCTTTCCTCTGCCTGCTGCTGATGCTGGTGTACTGGCATGTTCCAAAGACAACTTTTGCATGCGTGGCCTGTCTAACTTTTATCCAGATTTAACGAAACGGATCCGTACTTCCTATCAGAGTAAGTTCTATAAAGGTTAGGCAAATCGCTTTATCATGATTGGACTATGCCTGACTTAAACCCATGTGTTTGTGCTTTGTAATGTGTTTTTTCTAAACACATTCAGCATGCATGCAAACTTACTACATTCTGTGATGTCAACCATGCTTAATTTTGATAAATATCTTTATTACACAGATATTTCAGATCTGTTTTCTTCTTCCAAAAGAGTCAGTAAGAAAACCTCAGTGACTTACATGGGGCAGATTGGGCCTTAGAAATTATTTTTCAACGTTACGTTCTCGATGATCATATCTTTGGTTTTATATTCATTTCGGTGTACATCCACTTATATGAAGCATTTCTTGTTTTGCAGTGGCGCTGCCTGGTTATAGTTATTAATTAATCCTTCCCTATTTTTAGAAGAGCAACGTGGCTTAAAAGAATACCAATTGGATTGGGGGTTGTGCAATTTAAAATTTTAATCTTGGCTTGGCACTTGAATATTTGGCTTTGGGGAACCATCCCATGCCTCTGATCTTTAAGGGGGAATGTAAAGTGGGTATAAAAACACGTACATCAAAGAGAGCTATGAAAATTAATGTTTTTAATATCTTTAAATTTTGAATTATAGTGATACACAATTTAAATATTAGTATTCATCACTGCAGAATGTGATGAACAAAGCTATAATTAATTTTGCAAAAATGACTGTTCAACAGATGAGCTGTATGTATCTTAATTAACTGCAGTGCTTATATGTAATTAGGTCTCCAGGATGCCTCTTAATTCATCTCTTTTTAAAGTAGTTTTCACAGAACAACTGGATAGGCAATTTCACATTAAATACTCAGTATAGGCAAGATAAAGGGGTTGCAGTTGTTTTATCATCTCACACAAGACAGAGTTGTGTAACTAATGAAATACGTTTGTACACTTGCACAAGAAATTCTATTCCATCTCTCTAGTCTGATTACTCAACAACTGACTTCTGTGATTCTCTTCCTTCATAAAAAGTGGCCTGTTTAATTAAAGACTAGTCCAGTTAGAAATCCAGCAGTCCATTAAATGGTTTGGTGTACAATGTCTTAAAATTTTTCAGTCTGGTCTTGCTAATTTCCAGTCTGTGAGAGAGAACCTGAGGGACAAACAGCAGTCAAAGGTTTGGGAGGTTTTCCCTTGCTAAAAATAAATAAGTTCTAAGACTAAAAATATTCGATATTTTAATTCAAAATGACAAACACAGATCATCAGGTTTTTTACAGCTGAAAATTTGTTTCCAATTTCAACTCCAAAATCAGAAAAGTCCACAAAATTTTTCTGTATACATCATAAGCAAAGAGTATGAGTCTGACTCTTGTGCAAGATCATTAACAGCTTCATTTCTTTCCTCAAAAATTACGGGTTGTTACTTTTGCCATTTGATACTTTATAGGAGTATGTACTGTACAATATGAAAGATGGACCAGACAGTAAGATAAAGAACAGGACAAGAATGTGTCATAGACTGTAAAATATCTTGCTAGCTCATCCTCGGGTTATGCGTTGTTACATATTTTATCCGAGATAGAAGTTTAAAGAGAGGTATTGAGAATGGATTTTGGAGTTTGCTTACAAGTTTATCTCTCCCTGTAAGGCATGATGCTGGGAAAAGAAAAATAAATTATTTTGGAAATTGTGCAGTTGAAGTTGATGTTATTAAGGCAAAGCAGGAGCAACCATGTGATAACATAAGCATTAGGTCTAAAGATTTGAGGGTTATATAAATGAAAATGGAAGTTAATGGGAAGGCTTATCAGGAGTTGATTCAATTAAGTAATCAACCAGGAAGATAATTTCATGAGGATCAGTTTGAGAGAATAATACTTGCAGGCATTGAAGGCAAAGGAGGGATTATCAATGAGAAAGACACTTAGACTTTTTGCTGGCCGTTTTGGAGGTGATTTTCAGGAAGAAACGGTTTAGTGTCCAGCCTGAATCTCAACGTGCGATGTTCCAAGGATGAAACCTATATGATGGATTAGAGTATCAGCGGAGACCGGTGCTGTTAGCTGTGTGGAAGTAGCAAAGACTTCAGGAGGAAAAATAAAGTTCATCTTCGCCATGTTAAGTTTGTGTCAGGACGCTTCTGAGTAAAAGGCAGGATTACTACTCTAACTTGGATGGAAGAAACCCAAGTTAGAGGTGTGTTTTTATAAATTATTAGGGTAAAAAACAGCGTTTATTGCCCTGTTTATAGAAGAGACTCTCCTCAAATACTGACACAGAGAGATAAAGGAAGTATTGATGTTTAAGTCTGAAGTGCCTTGCAACTGAAGAGGGAATGGACGGGGGGAAAAATGAATCAAACAGAGAAAAGAAGCAATATGTTGGAGAAGGAGATTTTTTCCAAAGCAAAGACATAATCAACAATGTCAAGGGCATCCAATATGCAAAGCACAGTGGCGGAATAATTATTTTGAATTCTACCCAATAAATCTATAGAGAACTTGTGGAAGAGTATTGTCTATATATGTAAACTAGACTCGGAAGCATCTAGAGTGGGCTTAGAGCACGAAGGCATTCTCTCATTTGGGAGGTGAAAGTGGGACGGAATAAGCAAGAAGGGAAGAAGTTAGAAGGAGAAATGTAATCAGTTCTAGACATACATAATGGCAGACTGAAACATAATTGTCCTATCAGGGGAAGTAATTTGAGGAAAACAAGAGGCTAACATGAGGGCAAGTGCAGAGCTGGAGGCAGCTTTCTAGTGTTGATGACCTGTCCCATTTGCTAGAACATCTGCTGCCACCTTCCTTTGTTTGTAGCAGAATATGTGCCAAGCCAAGTAAAAATAGGCTCTTCCTGCAGTAGTGCAGAACTGCAGCGTTGTTTGTTTGGTGCTTTTTTTTTTCTCTTCAGTTGAAATCAAGTTGCACGTTATTACCTAGTGGTAGGTAACATGTATTCAAATATTAAAACAGGTACATTTGCTGCATCCAGGGAGATAGTATTTTCAGCAGAATATGAAAATACCAACTTGCAAAAGCAATTTCCATCTCCTACTAGAAATTCATACCACCTGTTGGTAAAACTGGAAAATACATAGTCCTTGTTAAGCATCTAAAAAGTCAGCAGGTTCTAAGAATGTTGATCCATTGGAAAATAATTTTCAGAATAAGGCTTTTCAGTGAAAACTCCTTGTTCCTCCTTCAGGCCAGTCCCTTTAGAGGATGTGAGCAAAAGTAACCTTGGTTTGAAGGAGGACACAGAAAAAAACTGTTATGAGTCATTACATGCCAGTAATTGACACTTTAAATCACACCTGAAAACACAGTCGAAGCTAATATAGATTGAGTTTTAGGTCAACAGCTATATTCTGAACTGTCACTTCCAAAGAATGCATCCTATTTAAACATAAAAGAAATCTAGTATGGTAATTTAGTGTGAAGAAGATGGGCTTACTTATTGGCTTGTCAGTATTTATGATTATTTATGATTTATTTATTTCTAAGCAAAGATGTGATGGCTTTGGGTGCTTGTAAGTAAATGATCAGTTTGAATCATTTAATCAGATATAAATTTAATATTTCAAACATAATTTTAAATTATTAATTCATAAAAGTTGTTTGTCCGTATAGACAATACAATTTTGATCCCTTAATAAAGAAGAAATGGGAATCCCACTAAACTTTGGAACATATCCATGGGACATGTCTTCAGAAGTGCTTTAATGCCTTCTGTGATATATTTACATCTTGCACTATTTTAACATGTTCATAATTTGTTCAAATCAAAGTTAATTTACTTATAATGTCGATGTGTACATCTTCTCACAGGTGGTGGTTTACAGTGCCAATCTCAGTAATTTGCCTTTAGTTTTGCTGCTATATCTTCCTTGCTCTACCTAGACTCAAAATTTGCTGGTGTGGGGGTTTTTTTGGCTAAAAAGAGTAGCCATCATAGTCTCCCAAAGATTAAAATTTGCTGGTGTGGGGTTTTTTTTTGCTAAAAAGAGTAGCCGTCATAGTCTCCCAAAGATCCAAGGGAAGTTGAGTTGCATGGAAATACTTGTGCATGATAAATCAGTGAAAAGATTTTGCTTGGTTTCCTTAAAAAAGAAACAAGAGTAGAAAATAAGCAGTAGTACAAAGAAAAGCTTGAGACCCCTTTCTTATCTCAAAGGGAAACAGGATGGAATCAGAGGTTACACATAAAAAATTGACAAATGTATGTTTATTCCTTTCAGTGAATGATGACTATGCAATTCATTTTCATATAACATCTTTGGGATTTATAATTTAGTAAGACTAAATACGACTTTGGAAATATGAATGGATAATGAGAAGAACTCATTATAATATTCATGAGCAAGTAATATTTATGGCAGGAGAAAATCTGCAATTGGCAGCACTTAAGCAATTCTAAGTGTGGCTTTGAGCAACCTGGTCTAGTGCAAGGTGTCCCTGCCCATGGCAGGGGGGTTGGAACTAGATGATCTTTAAGGTCCCTTCCAACCCAAACCATCTATGATTCTATGAAGTGTCTGAGATTAAGACAGTGTCCTTGTGCAGGGCCTGTAGCACAATTTACGCTTAATACGGGGACTCGCTGCACTTTTTTAATTATAAGCATCTGTCGATGGTCATTGTTAGAGGTGACAGTGGCTGGACAATAAGTCTAGATTTGTAGAGAAGTCCCCACGTGCACCATTTTTAAACACCGTAACATGAAATGTACCTTAACTGCTGTAAGTTGTAAAACTGCTGCCAAATATAAAGAGCTTGTGGTATTCTCACAGTGGCTGCTCTTGGGTTTTATTTAGCTGAAATGTTGCTTCTGTGAACCCACAAAAGAAAAAAAATTCTATTGAAGCATAATCTGACGTGGACTTGACATTGTAACTATTGACAATGGTAACTATACAAGGTTTGGATAATTTCATTAATCAAAACGTCATAACCTAGTGTTAAAATGTTACTATCTCCAAAACTGTGTTTGCAAAAGAAACAGTTTAATATTTCATTTCATTTATCCAACACCTCTGATGTTATGCGAATGTGTCAAACTCACTCCCACTGTATCTTGCATGCAGTTCTGCAGCAAAAATCGATGTGTCACAAATCTGTAGGTACGTACTGAAACCTCAGAGTCAAAGTAAGATTTGCTGTAAGAAAGCTATAAAGAGAGAGGCTCCCTAAATGGTTGAGCTTCCTGAATTCTGTTGTAACTTCAAAAGTGACTGGACTCACAATTGATCAGAATATAAAATTCTCTCACAGATTCTAAGTGAAATCAAAAAAAGACTCAAGTACAATTCTCAAAATAGAAGAAAACCTTTGGTTTTCAACATTAGTATCTGGCTTGTGATCTTCTGTTGTTTAAGAATCAGGAGCAAATATGTCATTACCATTGACACCTGAGCCCAAATCAACACTGCTGTTTTTCCAAAGTGCTCTCAAAGTTGTTCTAGCATTCATGCGGCTCATTAGTGGTAGGAGTTTTTTATTCTGTTTGTTGGGGCTTTGGATTCTCCCCATTTCTCAGAGCAGTTCAAAATGACATTGTAATTAAAATATGCTCACATGAAGATCCCACTGTTTTTAATACAAAGAGAACACTGGAGACTAACTGGTAAAAGAATTTTTTTTTAAAACAAGAGTCTATTTGAATTTAGAGATGACTGTCTCTTAGCCTGAGGGTCCAAAAGCCATAAAAATTAAAACATGTCATGTTGCAGGAGGCATGGTGCCAGATTAAAGCAGATTGAAAGGTTGTGATAGGAAGTTTGACTTTCAGGACACGGCGCACGCAGGGTTTGTGCAAACAGGATCAGTACAACAGTAACGCCCGTCTGAATGTGGGCTAATGCTCCCAAGGCTCTATGATCCGAGTGCTGTGAGCACACATTGCTAGCAGATGGATGTCTGGCGCTGGGCTGTCTGCCAGTGCCAAGCAGCCTACGGCACGAAGTGTCAGAGCTCCTTAGAGCACGTGGGAACCGCTTGATACAGCCCATAGGGCACCGTGGGATACAGACAAAGGGTACGTTTGAATAGACATGGCCATGACCACTTCACCCACTCCGCTGTTAGCCTGTGGCAAAGGATAGCATGAGCTCAGAGTTTCTTTCTTTGGGATGCCAAAAGGCACGTTTAAACTTGTGCATGCAACCTGAGCCTAAGATGGATCTGAGTTTGATCACAGAAACAAACCCAAGCTTAAGCAGTATAAACTAAGACTACTTGACTCGTTGCTGTTTTCCATGGTAGACAGCTACAAATGGGTTCCTCACAAATATTTATAAACGATATATAAAGTATCTTGTCCAAAAAAATTTTTGTTATGGTCAGACAGTATTATCATTGCCTCTGCGTCCTTTGAAATGAGCTGTCTCGTGTGAATTCACATAAAAGTTCCTAATATTGCATAGTTATGGGGATATTTTTGTGTTCACTGTCTTCTTTCACAAGCGCTGTTTTTTTCCCCTCCCCACCCCCGTCCCCCCTCCCCCTGTTTTAAGGTTTCCTCCCTGCATCTTGCAGCAGTTGAAAGCATAGAGTTGTTTCCACATCAATTTGACCAGGATGAATGAGTTTGACTCGTATCACAGACATTTAAATTTTAAGCCATATTTACTTGCTTTCTCTTGTTAGGTACAGTCACTCCTTGTTTACCCTGAGGCACTTGGAAAGCAAAACCGAGTGGTGTTTTTTTTTTTTTTTTTTTAAACCAGACCTAAATTTCTGCAGTCACAGCCTGATAACTGCAGTTATCTGGAATAGATGTTTTCCTCGCTTTTCACACTATTCCTTTCTCCAAATTGACTTTAAAGTGCAGAATATCATCAACCGAGAAAGTTGAAGCATGCCCTGTTAGATTGTAACTTAACTTTTTAACTCCATTTTTTCAGGCCTGACTGAACTCAGTGACAGTCCAGTTTCCCTGGAGCTAGAGCGTTGCAAGTCTCCCACTTCAGGTAAAGGTGATTGGCTTCTTTTCCTGCAGTCCGTATAAGCCATTCATGGCATGCATCACTCTGTCTCGTTAATCCCTAAAAAGTGAAGTGCACAGTTACAGTTCCAAAGAGAAGAAATCACTGGAGAAGTGCTTATTACATAGCACAATCAAATCCAAGGTCTGTTTACTTAAAGAAAAATTAAACGTACGTGCTGCGCCTCGAGGTGAAGAGTATGAAAACATTTGAATTAACAACATCGTGCAGGTATATTCCTATCTCTTCTTATTAGAGGCATGTTTCTCTGCTTTCTTAAAAGGCTTTTTGGCCTCTCTTTATTTTTTTTCAGTAGGGAGTCCTCATAATTTTATATATATTATGCATATGTGCACATAGAGAAATCATTTGAAAAGCAGCAATATAGAGATGGTAAATTTTAACAATTAAAACTCACCAGTGCCTAAGTTACATAATTTACAATGGAAGTATAACCTCAAATAAAAACATTTGCTGATCAAGCACTTTGACCCAGCAGTGAAATCTTGGTCCTTTAAAGATGTATAAAGGTTTCCCATTTTACCCATAGTCCTTCAGGAGATGGAGTTCATCTCATTTCTAGAGACTTCTTCTAGAAGTGCCTAGTCTGCGTTCCTCTCTTTAGTATGAGCTCATTGTCTTAAAGGTCGTTGCTTAGAGCTGTGTTCTGGTAGCTGACTTTTGCATGTGATGGAAAATAAGCAGTTGTAGCTGCAATACATTCATTTTGCTAGTGGTATGCAAATCACACTTCTATCCTTTGTAGCTTGGTAAGTATTGATAGATACTCTTCCTTTTTTTCCCTTAGTTATGGTAACAAATCCCCACAAATATGCTATTCAAATCCTCTGTTGTTATTTCATATATTTTACTTCATTATAACAGGACACATTAATCTTGCATGGAGGACTCTAATTATTAATTTACAAAAAGCTAAAACTACTAGAATTGTTTCCCAGGCACAACAAAACCTAATCTAAAATAGGTTTTTTGAAATATGTCTTCCCTTGTACTACTTGCCACCCAAATTCTTTAGATGTGGGAATACCAAAGTGAAGTAGGCTATAATAATATTGGTATAATGCTAGGGGTTCAAACTCTTGAGCTGGGCCTTCAAATTATCAAATAAAAAAAAAATCTGTTGACTCAGTATAACTTATTTATTGAGTGGCCCACTGGCATTCATCTTTTCAATCTTCTCTCCAGAAATAAGCTCCAAACTTACTTTTTCTTTTTACTGAAAACTAAGAGATCACTGACTTTAAACATATGTGCATATGCTTAGTTTCAGAATGATGAGTGACTCTATAGCACCTCACTTTTTCTGCAGTTAACCCCAACTTTTCATTCTGCTATTGATAAAAAATATTTAAGATAATTTTCTCCAAAATTTATGCTGCTTTTCTGTCTTGGAGACCATTCAGCAGGGAAGACATGGCATATGTATTAATGTTTCCTATTTTAGCCCTTCCATGTTATTTTCCAAGCTATATTTGAATCTTTAAAATGTGAAATCAGTTGCAATTTTATAGGCAGTATTTATTATTAGAATTAACTGCTGCTTGAAATACAAGCTACTTTTACTGTGACTGATAATTATTTTTTAATTAATGCAAAATTACAATGATTTTGCTTTGGCATACCTGCTCTGAAACTGGGCAAAATCCACTCTAACCCTCTGGAGTAACTGGCCTCAAAATTGTTCCCCCCCAAGAACTTGGAAGCGGAACTACCTTGTGCTTACCAGCACGGCCCCCCAGCTACATCATCCTTTGCATGGCTAACGTGTCTTTCTCACAGAGCACAGCTGATCAATCTGCATAGTTATGGATTCATCAGGCAAGATCCTTCTGCTTCCAGCCTTGCCTTTGATCTATTTACAGTTGATGGCTCACAAGCTCCATAATAGAAGTGTGCTGTGCTCTGTAGAGTCCTGTGATATCTCTGTTTGTAAAACCACTGACCAGCTCTGCTGAAGATAGGCCAAGACTTTATTTTTCTGAAATTTAGCAGATTGAACACTTGGCCACTGAGTCAAGCAGTTGAAGTTACTGTCCGATGGAATGGCTATATCACCGGCTGATGGGGTTGCAAAGACAGAAGGAACAGAGGTTGATTTGTTGCGATTCATTGTGGTTGCCAGACCATGTCAATGTCAACTCTTCATCTGGCAGTGAAGCTCGTGCCAGTTACTGGCTCTGAGTATGCCCAGCGCACACTCAGAGTGCAAACTGCTGGATGACCCTAGTCTATGTGGCAAACACTACACATGATGGGTATACTGGGGAGCAACTTTGTCCTCAGTTCCATCAGAAGGGGAATGATTTGAGAAACACCAGTGATGCGCTCACATGCATACTTCAGGACTCCCAGACGATGCCTAAGAGTACTCCCTCTAGCACACTAATTGTAGACTCAAACAGTTTTACACCTAAGTAACTCAGTCAGTTTTCAGTTCCAACCAGGCCTGTAAGAACAGTGTTGATAAAGGCTCTTTGGAGAACACGAAAAATCTCCTGCCTCCTCTTCTCTTGGTCTGATCCTGGGCATTGCTTAGCCTTCTTCCGAACCATCTTGGTTTCTCCGAAAAAACTTATTTTGCCTGTAACATCCTACTGCTTGTCAGTGTTTTAATCTATGACTAAGCTTCGGCGGAACCAGCCTAGGTCAACTCAGTAATTCAGCTTTGTTGTTTCTCTTCTCCCCTGCCTCCAATCAAAATTAGGCATTTGTTCTGTCACTCGTGAGTGTCGGAGCACTGAGCAACAGACTCAGTGCTGAAGAACACTCCCTATTTGAAGTGCAGGGCTGTTTTCTAATTCAGTACAAATCCAACTTTGTCCATTAAGCAATATCTTAAACTTCTTTCACAAGACTGCCTTTTCTGGTGCTCCTCCTGTACTAAAGCATGGCTTTGCATACAATGTAATTGAAAAATCAGAGTCCTGTTCTGAATGCCTTTCAGACAGGAACATGAAATTAAACCATTTCGTGAAAATTTCTCTGGAATTCACAGTGCCAAACAGGACATCGCAGCAAGTGAAGAAATACCAACCTTGTATTTTAAGAATGGTAGCCAGAGGAGAGGAATAATCTTCCTTTAACCACTGGTATCTTATTTTAATGAAATTAGTATTTTAATATTAGAGTGATGTACTTCCAGTACTGTATAGAAAGACAAGAAGTTATTAAATCCATTTGAAAAATTATGCTTATTTGTGAATATCTGAGCAGTGGCAGTTTCCACTGTAAAGAAAAGGTATTCTACCTACAGCCATATATATTTAGTAACATTGGTACAAACTGTGGAACAAAAAACTTCAAAAATACGAAAACCAAAACATTTTATATAAAGCATGCTTCCGTGACACAGCATGGCATGCCACATAATGGTATTTGATTGTCTTAAAAAAAACCTCTCAGACCATATAAAGGATGGTAGAAATCAGGGTTTTTCAATACCATCAGAATGTCCTATTTTTACTCATGCATTCCACATTCTTTCAATGGAAAAACTCCAACTACATTTTGATTGTTGTGATTTGGATGGCAAAAGTTAGAGCTTTGTACAACATTCACTCTTCTACAGTGGTGTGTGAGAGCTCAGTAGCTCTAAAACAAAATAAAAATCTGAGGCCTTGTAAGCACTCATAATGTAAAAGGTGTTGCATCTAATTATGGAGTTAATTACTGTATGGTGTGTTACAGAACAGGTACCCATTCCAGTAAAGTTTATCTTTATTTTTATCCTCTCATTAGGAGACTGTACTCTTAGGAACATAATATAGATAATATACATAATTATATACATTCCTTGCTGCCTTAGCCATTTGTATGCAGCTTTGGAGTGAAGCATGTAGTTGAGAATACACTACGAGCACAGAAATTGCATCTTTGAGTGGTCATTTCCACTTGTGTAAGATGTAATGGGTAGTTTAGACTTCTTTCAAAGTCCAGATGAGAAGAATTTCATCAGTCCATGTATAGGAGAGTGACTTCTCAAATGTGTGTTCTAAAATGAAAGTGCATTTCTGTTTTGGGTTTGTCTGTTTTCCTGAACAAATCGCATTCTCACTGGGGGCTTGCATCCAAAATGCTTTTAAGACTATAAAGCTTAGAGAATGCTATGTAAAAATTTCCGCAATTGGTTCTCGTGATCTTTATAACAGGTCCCTGATGGCAAGATTACGAGTTTTTACACATACTGTGATTTCCAAGAGCTGCTACTCTGATTCGTTTCACTGGTTAAATCCACTGGGATTAGGCCCATGCTGTGCCAACCTCCCACTTCCCTATGTGAAATGTTTTTAAATCACTTTGTTTCAAGAAGGATATTATTAAGTTTCTAACAGTTGCTCTTTTTTGACTCCTGGGCAACTGCAAAGTAGCTGGAGAGATCTGACTCAGTTTGAAAACTATATTCTTATGGAAAACAAGCAAGGAAGCAAATGTTTCAAAACACTTCATTCAGTTGAAAACATGGAATGCAATTTTGAAACTTGATTATTGGTGAAACTGCCAGCATAACCATTTCTACTTATTTATATTAAATTAGAAAGAACATTTACAAGTCAGAAGGCAAATTAATCATGGAAAAGCTCCTGCACAGTGAACACAAGCTGCCTTTTTGTCGCTTTTTCCAATATGTGAGGGGGTATCTGATCAGGTGGATTTATGCTTGCTTATGATCTTGAGAAGAGACATGTTTGTAGGGATTAGCAAGGTACGGGGTGCAGCATGAGCTGGCAGAGGGGAGTAATGGGGACCTGGGTTTGGGCCATGGTGAATGGCTCTGGGGAGCAGTGGGGTAGTCCCAGTGCAGCCCAATGAGCTTGGCTCAGGGGGAGCGGTGGGGTAGCCCCCATGTACTACAGGGTTCAAGGGACCCTGAGCTCACCCAGAGGGACCAGCAGCTCCTGTGAACCAGGAAGACAGGAGCTAAGCAAGGGAGCAGGCCAGCTCTGGGGAGGGTGACCCAGGCCAAA